GGAAGCGCCCGAGCAGCTGAGCCGGCGTCTCCTCCTCCAGCAGGCGATCGAGCACGGCCTGCCCGGCACAAACGCGGCCCTTAGCACCGAGCCTCGCCACGCACGCAAGGCGACGGCCGAGCCGACGTGCACGTCTCTCGAGCGTTCACAAGGCCGGCGGTGGGGGCGGTGAGCCGCTCCGGACCAGCTGGGCGCTCGCACCTTGAACAGCGGGTACGGGAAGTTTCCTGCGGACGAGGTCTTCCGATTGTCCAGCGGGTGATGTCCTTCAGTCCGCACCAACTTCATGAGGGTACACAGTGCCAGCTCCTGTAGGGCATGGTGGCATCATCATGATCATCCAGTCGAGTACTCGTTTAATCATCATCATCATCGGGGCTTACTTTTTCACTGAATATTTTACAAGTCACTGGTAGACTGCAGAAGGTGGCACGTGACTAGTAGCCACATCCATAGCGAGATGTATACTGGATGTGGTGTGCCTGGTATGGAAGTATTTTAAGGGCCGCCGATCCAGACAGACACGGCTGAAATTAATCCCTGGTAGTAGCACCTATGAATTCCGGCACAGCACACGAAGGGGTGGGTGGCCATCACCACTACGGCAAGCAAGACACAGATCCACGCACAAACAACCAGACATGCACACCGACGCACGTCACGATGGAGGGCATCGAGCGGCACCGATCGCTCACCCTGACGTCCGAGGAGTCGTGCGACAGCAGCTGCAGCAGCTGCGTCGTGCAGTCGTTGTAGCGATGTCTCAGCCACTGCTCGTACTTCTCCTCCGCGGAACACTCTGCTCCTGTGAGCACGCACACCACGGTACGCTCGCCACACACCCCACACCACTCTCCATCTCTCTACACATACACCCCACACCACCACTCCCACCACACACCACTCTCACCACACACCACTCTCCATCTCTCTACACACACCACTCCCACCACACACCCCACACCACTCTCCATCTCTCTACCACACACCACTCCCACCACACACCCCACACACCACTCTCACCACACACCCCACACCACTCTCCATCTCTCTACACACACCACTCCCACCACACACCCCACACACCACTCTCACCACACACCACTCTCACCACACACCACTCTCACCACACACCACTCCCACCACACACCACTCTCCATCTCTCTACACACACCACTCTCACCACACACCCCACACCACTCTCCATCTCTCTACACACACCACTCCCACCACACACCCCACACACCACTCTCACCACACACCACTCTCCATCTCTCTACACACACCACTCCCACCACACCCCCACACACCACTCTCACCATACACCCCACACCACTCTCCATCTCTCTACACACACCACTCCCACCACACACCCCACACACCACTCTCACCACACACCACTCTCACCACACACCCCACACTACTCTCCATCTCTCTACACACACCACTCCCACCACACACCCCACACACCACTCTCACCATACACCCCACACCACTCTCCATCTCTCTACACACACCACTCCCACCACACACCCCACACACCACTCTCACCACACACCACTCTCACCACACACCACTCCCACCACTCTCCATCTCTCTACACACACCACTCTCACCACACACCCCACACCACTCTCCATCTCTCTACACACACCACTCCCACCACACACCCCACACACCACTCTCACCACACACCACTCTCCATCTCTCTACACACACCACTCCCACCACACACCCCACACACCACTCTCACCTCTCTACACACTCCACTCCCACCACACCCCCACACACCACTCTCACCATACACCCCACACCACTCTCCATCTCTCTACACACACCACTCCCACCACACACCACTCTCACCACACACCACTCTCACCACACACCACTCCCACACACACTCTCACCACACACCACTCATCCACCATCTCTCTACACACACCACTCTCCACCACACACCCCACACCACTCTCCATCTCTCTACACACACCACTCCCACCACACACCCCATACAACACTCTCACCACACACCACTCTCCATCTCTCTACACACACCACTCCCACCACACACCCCACACACCACTCTCACCACACACCACTCTCCATCTCTCTACACACACCACTCTCACCATACACCCCACACCACTCTCCATCTCTCTACACACACCACTCCCACCACACACCCCATACAACACTCTCACCGCACACCCCACACCACTCTCCATCTCTCTACACACACCACTCCCACCACACACCCCACACACCACTCTCACCATACACCCCACACCACTCTCCATCTGTCCACTCTCCATCTATCATCACACGCACACCCCACACCACTCTCCATCTCTCTATACACCACTCTCATCACACACCCCACACCACCACTCTCACCACACACCCCACACCCAATCTCTCATCACACACACACCCCACACACCACTCTCACCACACATCCCCACATCACTCTCCACTCTCCATCTATCATCACACACACACATACCCCACACCACTCTCCACATACACCACTCCCACCACACACCCCCACACCACTCTCCATCTCTCCACACGCAACTCTCACCACACACCCCACACCACTCTCCATCTCTCCACACACCACTCTCACCACACACCCCCACACCACCACTCTCACCACACACACACCACTCTCCACCTCTCACCCCACACCACCACTCTCACCACACACCCCACACCACTCTCCAACTCTCCACACACCACTCTCATCACACATCCCACCCCACCACTCTCACCACACACACGCCACTCTCCACCTCTCATCACACCCCCACCCCACTCTCACCACACACCACTCTCACCACACACCCCACACCACTACTCTCATCACACACACGCCACTCTCCACCTCTCATCACACACACGCCACTCTCCACCTCTCGTCACACCACTCATCACACCCCCACACCACTCTCCACCTCTCATCACACACACGCCACTCTCCACCTCTCGTCACACCACTCATCACACCCCCACACCACTCTCCACCTCTCGTCACACCACTCATCACACCCCACGCCGCTCTCCCCTCCACTCTGGTTGCTCACCGGCCGCCGCTTCTTCATCCCCCTCCCCCTCATCCTCCTCCTCGGCTGGCAGGGCCCCGCCGTGGATGGCCCCGCGCCGCACGAGGCTCGAGAAGAGGCCGCTGCAGGCCGTGATGCCAGCCACCACCTCCTCCTCCACCTCCGACTGCAATCATCATCAGCAACATCATCAGCAACATCATCAGCAGCAGCATCATCAGCAGCATCATCATCATCATCAGCAGCAGCAGCAGCAACAGCATCATCATCAGCATCATCATCATCATCAGCAGCAGCAGCAGCATCATCAGCAGCAGCATCATCATCAGCAGTAGCATCATCATCAGCAGCAGCAGCATCATCATCATCATCATCAGCAGCAGCAGCATCATCATCAGCAGCAGCATCATCATCAGCAGCAGCATCATCATCAGCAGCAGCATCATCAGCAGCAGCATCATCAGCAGCAGCAGCAGCAGCATCATCATCATCATCAGCAGCAGCATCAGCAGCAGCATCATCATCAGCAGCATCAGCAGCAGCATCAGCAGCAGCATCAGCATCAGCAGCATCATCAGCAGCAGCGCCCCGCGGAATCCGGCATTACCACCCAGGGCCCAACGTGAATGGAGCTCTCAGAATCTGTGTGTTTATACCACAGGAGGAATCCGATGAGCTATGAAGATCTTTTTTCACAGATGTCCAGCAAGGAAGGGGCAGGTCAGAACGTTACAACGATACAAACACACGATACGAGTGCAAAGTATAGGAACGGTAAACTTAAACATTGCATCTAAAATGTAATCACTTAAAATTGTAATTAAATGAAAACCATTTTTATTTTTATTTTCACATGTTAAGGCCCACCGAGCGATATCGCTTCTTTAGCAGAAGCCATCGCAAACGATATCTCGACGAAGTGGCTCGCCGCGCGGAAGTTTACAAGCAGCCCAGGAGCACGAGCAACAGCATCGCCCTTAAAACAACAACGACGAGGAGGACGACAACGAGGAGGAGGACGAGGAGGACGATGAGGATGCGGCTCACGGCACCTCCAGCGCCTCGAGCAGCTCCAGGAGGCGATTTGCGTGTCGCGGGCTGCTCAGCGCGGCGCGCGCCGCCTCCTGCAGCCGCGGCGCGGCGCGACGTCGAGGCCCCGAGCCCCGCACAGAGCCGCGGCCCATCGCCGGTTCGTGACCTGCGGGTCGCCTGCGGATCCTTCTCCTCCTCCTGCTGCTGCTGCTGCTGCTACTACGTGTCCCGCGAGATGATGGAACCCCGCGTGGTCAGCAGAGCCCGATGATGAACCCCTACGAGATGAAGGACCCCCGCGAGATGAAGGACCCCCGAGAAATGATGGACCCCCGCGAGATGATGTACCCTCGCGAGATGATGGACCCCCGCGAGATGATGGACCCCCACGAGATGATGGACCCCCACGAGATGAGTGATGAACCCCCACGAGATGAAGGACCCCCGAGAAATGATGGACCCCCGCGAGATGATGGCCCTCGCGAGATGATGGACCCCCGCGAGATGATGGACCCCCGCGAGATGATGGCCCTCGCGAGATGATGGACCCCCGCGAGATGATGGACCCCCGCGAGATGATGGACCCCGCGAGATGATGAACCCCCGAGAGATGATGGACCCCCGCGAGATGAGTGAAGGACCCCCGCGAGATGATGGACCCCGCGTGGTCACCAGGGTACGCACGTGGACTCCCCCGGCCTTACAGTAGATCGGGGTCCCCGTGTTTTTTTCCCCGTCTTCCGGAATAGATCTTCCGTCTTCCAGAAGACGTTTCGTCTTCCGGAAGATTGGGGGCGTTGCCTTCCTGTGGTCTTCCAGAAGTTCACCACGAGGCGGAAGACATCTTCCGTCTTCCTGGAAGAGAAGACGCGCGCGTTTCTTTCGGCTTCCTGCAAACGTCTTCCGGAAGAAGAAGAAGAGGCGGCGGCGGCGGGGGATGCACACGGGGACCGCGCGGGCCTCGACGACCCCTGACCCCGGCAGGAGCTCGGCGCGCCCCGAGGGCCCCAAGTGTTGGGTGAGGGAGCGGGCCTTGGGGCCCCTGGGGCCCCAGTGGCGGGTGAGGAAGCGGCCCCTGGGGCCAAGTGGCGGGTAAGGGAGCGGCCCCTGGGCCCCTGGGGCCCCAGTGGCGGGTGAGGGAGCGGCCTCTGGGGCCCAAGTGGCGGGTGAGGGAGCGGCCCCTGGGCCCCTGGGGCCCCAGTGGCGGGTGAGGGAGCGGCCTCTGGGGCCCAAGTGGCGGGTGAGGGAGCGGCCCCTGGGCCCCTGGGGCCCCAGTGGCGGGTGAGGAAGCGGCCCCTGGGGCCAAGTGGCGGGTGAGGGAGCGGCCCCTGGGGCCCAAGTGGCGGGTGAGGGAGCGGCCTCTGGGGCCCAAGTAGCGGGTGAGGCCGAGGTCCCCTTTGGCGGAGTCCCTTCCTCAACTTTACTCAAGTCAAGAAACGGGTTAACCCGTTTTACGTTACGTACATTTTTGATGGTGCTGTTTGTTGCTGGTCGCATGGCGTTTTGGACCTTTGTGTCTGTGCTCAGCAACTGCGTTTAGACGTTGCTCAGCACTGCTCCCCGTGCGGAGTTCTCGTGACTTTCCTGCGGTTCAACTTCACGGCGATGGCAAAGGGTTGAGACAAAGGCGCAGCCTCGCAATTACTCGCTCTCGCCACTGCTGGCGGGACGGTGTCCGCCAAAGGGCGTTCTCGTCAGCCCCTCCAAAGGGTTCAGTTTCTGACCTCCGCCTCCACGCTGGCCAGACGTCTTTGAGGAGTTCTAGATTTGAAGCTTTCGTGACTGCAAGGATTCGTACTCTTAGGGTTGTTCGGTAAAGTCACGTAGGTAAAGAAATAATCAAATAATAACAAATGAAAATAACTCAATTAAATCACGACGTTTCGGAGGCAACACAAATACGAGTATTTAAGATCTTGGATTTCTCTTCACTTGATACAGTAAATTTAGCTGTGACGGTCCCACCTGAAGACGGAGACTTGTGTTGCCTCCGAAACGTCGTGATTTAATTGAGTTATTTTTATTTTTTTACCTACGTGACTTTACCGAAAAAACCTAAGAGTATGAATATTTGAGGAGGTGGTGGGAGTACCCACACATGACCCCACCACACACGACCTCCCAATGAAACAAACTGTGGTGCACACATGTCTACTGCGGGGTGGATAGCGCGGGTGTTGTTTAAAGAAACCGGCTGTATTTGTTTATTGTCCCACTGCCAGGATTCCAATCGGCGACTTCTGGATTGTGCCCACCGTCCCAACGCGGTAGCGTCCGTCGTGGTGGTCGTGGCCGTGATACTGTAACTTGGCTACGTCGTCAGCAGAGGGCATTGCAGCGAACCCCATCGTTGTACTGCACTCTGCCGCAGCCTCGCACGGTTTATTTTAAAAACACAAACCACTCGATGTCTAGCAGAGGTCGCACCCGGGTACCCGTACCCTACCCGATACCCGGCTACCCGTACCCGGCCAGGTATGGGTACCCGTTTGCGACCCTGGTGCGGCCGGGTACGGGTAGGCCGTGAGTCACTGGTGAGTAACCGTTTGTCACTCATTTCCCAACGTCTTGTCTCTTCTGACAATTCAAGTTCCTAGAATCAACCCACCCGCGCCTGCAACATGGCTTCATCCCAGAGGTCGCAATCAGGTACCCGATACCCGTACCCTACCCGTACCCGGCCGGGTACGGGTAGGGTACGGGTACGGCCGGGTACGGGTACCCGTTTGCGACCCTGATGCGGCCGGGTACGGGTAAGGAATCAAAACCCGTTTGCGACCTCTGGTGTCTAGTGGAGGTGTGACGCAGCACTCAGCGCACAGCACTTTTGAGTCTGGTCAGCCGGGTTCGATTCCCAGCCGTGGCCAACATTAATTACGAGCGAATGCCGTTCCGTGGGGAGGCCCTCATCCAGCTGTGGATTGACACAACCGTGGCTGTGGCTGTACACGTGACGATGGTGACGGAGGTGCTGTAACAGCTCGCGTTGCGCGTGACCCGAATGTCGCTACAGAATGCTCGGAGGGGCACAAGACGAGAAGTTGGGCAGCGTGATGGGTGACGAGACCGACGGTCACGATGGGGACACCGATGAGGATGAGAGGCAAGGAGGAGGGGACGAAGACTCGGACCACGACAGCATCTCCCACGTCATCCTGGGGACAAAACGGAAGCGCACCCCGCCCCTGCACTCCAGCAGGTGCGTTAGCCGTGTTAGCCGCTGTGCTGTCATCACAACGCGTTGGCGGCAGCAGGGTTGTTAATTTCATTTTTTTTAACACGATCGATAATTACGTGCAAAAACATAATTCATAATCTGTTATGAATAATATTGGTCGCGAAAGCCTACGTGTTAAAAACAGAATTATATTTTTTGGCGACCATAAAGCACCGTCTCATTATGCACGTTCGGCCCTGTGTGTATCTGCTTAAACGAACCACGCGGTGACTGGTGAACCCTGCCGCTGGTGCATTACGATGGCTGCAACTGACCAATCACGTTGGAATGCGCCGTGCAGTTTGACGTTCGTGTGTGCCAATCGGTTTAATCATAAGTAATATTTAACTGGATTTGATTATCAGTTATAGAGATGACAACAAATTTAGGAGGCCTTCATCCAGCAGAGGATTGTTTATGGACGATGACTATCATATCAATTATCTTTTAAATTGATAATCGATTATAAAACAGTTATAGAAATATATATAATCAATTGACGGCCCTAATCGCGAGTCACAATGGTGCTTAAGCATGCGCTGTCCGGATGAAGTTCCTTCTTACCCTCACAGTTCCTCGGACACGGACCACGATCTGTTCATCACCCAGCTGCCGGTGTTGAGGAAGAGAGCGCCCCCGCACGAACTCGGGGAGGGGAGCTCCAGTGCGTCACATGAGGGGGACGTCTGCGGCACCGGCGACGCGGATGGGACGTCTACTGGGGAGGAGGCCCCACGTGACAAATTGTGAGTGTCTCCAGTTCCAGACCAGGATTTCTCCTCCATGATGAAGCTAAGATGCCTCGTATTGATCTGACCTACGACTTTAGTCCTTCCTGTGCTCGACAGCACATTGGGAAACAGTTTCGCAACAACCATTCTGGCAAATTGCCCGATGATGCTGGATGCAATTACCAGCGAAACGTCGTACTCAAATTATAAATGTTGTGGTTTCACGCTTCAACACACCGGTGGGCTAAAGCAGTGAACTAATTGTCTTTTGTCAACGTGACACTTTTTTACTGATTGGCCGTGTCGGGTGGTGGAGGGTTACGACACATTTATAAATAACGCGATCTAAACCCAAAAACGTTGATTATGAATAATATTGGTCGCGAAAGCCTACGTGTTAAAAACAGAATTATATTTTTTGGCGACCATAAAGCACCGTCTCATTATGCACGTTCGGCCCTGTGTGTATCTGCTTAAACGAACCACGCGGTGACTGGTGAACCCTGCCGCTGGTGCATTACGATGGCTGCAACTGACCAATCACGTTGGAATGCGCCGTGCAGTTTGAAGTTCGTGTTTGCCAATCGGTTTAATCATAAGTAATATTTAACTGGATTTGATTATCAGTTATAGAGATGACAACAAATTTAGGAGGCCTTCTTCCAGCAGAGGATTGTTTATGGACGATGACTATCAAATCAATTATCTTTTAAATTGATAATCGATTATAAAACAGTTATAGAAATATATATAATCAATTGACGGCCCTAATCGCGAGTCACAATGGTGCTTAAGCATGCGCTGTCCGGATGAAGTTCCTTCTTACCCCCACAGTTCCTCGGACACGGACCACGATCTGTTCATCACCCAGCTGCCGGTGTTGAGGAAGAGAGCGCCCCCGCACGAACTCGGAGAGGGGAGCTCCAGTGCGTCACATGAGGGGGACGTCTGCGGCACCGGCGACGCGGATGGGACGTCTACTGGGGAGGAGGCCCCACGTGACAAATTGTGAGTGTCCCCAGTTCCAGACCAGGATTTCTCCTCCATGATGAAGCTAAGATACCTCGTATTGATCTGACCTACAACTTTAGTCCTTCCTGTGCTCGACAGCACATTGGGAAACAGTTTCGCAACAACTTTGGCTGATCTTCTTGGTTCTTTCGGTAAAGTCACGTAGAAGGGAAGTAATAAAATAATAAAAATAAAACATAATAAAATAATTCTCACGACGTTTCGGCCACAACGCAAGCAGCCGTCCTCAGGTGAAAACCAGGTCCGTCGAGGCGACAGAGTCTGAATGAAGCAGCACACGAGCTTGGAGCATATATATAAGCTGGGCGCATTGACAAAGGAATTTGCATATCAAGAGGAATTTAGCATATTCATGGCAAATGCAGGAATGTGATTAGTACTGCATATGCATGTGCATTATGCAGGATTAACAGCATCAAAGAGAACTTTGGCTGAGCCACATCATCTCTTGTTATTCCATTGATCTTTAAATTCCTGTCGATTGTTTCCAATTCTTTCTTTTCAATATCCTTTTTTCAAAATGTCAGTGCATTACCTGCCTTGCATTGCAGTTATTGTCCATCTGATGACCGTCTTTTCATTAACTGAACGCATCACTTTTTACAGCCAATAATATATACAGCAGAACATTTTAATGATACAGATTCTCACAACCCTGAACAATCAGTCACCATCCTGTTGCTTACTCTCGATAACCTTCACGCACAATTCTATACACCAGTGGCGCTCAACCTCTGGTATGTAGACCATTAGTCCAGATGCAATTATTTGTTCACAAAACACCATCTTTGAATTGCATGGTGGTCCATGAAAGATAGCTTGAGGGTTGATGGTTTTCCGCAGGTAGAGATAGGTTGGCACTGTGTCAATGAGCAGACTTGGCTTGATGTGAACAAGGGCCGTGTGTCTGACTACTGTCAGGAAAGGACAGGTGGAGGAGGAGCTGTATCATCGCCATCAGAACAAGAGCCGTACCCCAAAGGGGCCAAAACAGTGCGGAGCACGCCCGTCCTCTCCCAAGGCTCGGCATCTGCCTCAGCCTCTCATCCAACAGTACCAGGTTCAAGTCCTCCTCTGCAGAATCTGTGTTTATTCTGTCTCTGAATCGCCTCCATCGGCGAGGCCTGTTTAAAGTCTTATTGAGTAAAGCAAGGAAACCTCTCATTTCTAACATCAACTGTTCACAATTTCACCATAATTGTTTTCCACATCATAGTAGTGTATTGTATTTATATACAAATGTAAAGCATACAAAAGCAAAAGAGTATTGTGTCCCATCGTACATTCAAATCACATGACATTTTTTGTAAAAATTACACGTTGCTTGTATTGTGTTAAGTTTATTTTCTCAATAATGCCCTCGACATACCCATACAAGATGATAGCTTGGAAACAACATTTAAAGCGGAATTTAGTTTGAATATAAAATAAAATGCGGCACTAAACATTTATTTATGGATAAAGTCACGTAGAATGGAGTCTGTCTTCTCGACAGACCTGTTCTCCACCTGAGGACGGCTGCTTGCGTTGTGGCCGAAACGTCGTGAGAATTATTTTATTATGTTTTATATTTATTATTTTATTATTTCCATTCTACGTGACTTTACCGAAAGAACCAAGAAGATGAATCCCTGCAGTCACGAAAGCTTTAAATCGAAATTTATTTATAGATTTGAAAAGACTAAACGGTCTTTTGCAGGGGTTTCTTTCGGTGCCCTGTGATGATCGTGCTTTCCGTGGATTGTTGTTGTTGTGTCGTAGGGGGCGGCCGTCTGGGGGTTGCTCGCCTGCAGCAAGCAGCTGAAGCAGCAGCACTGGAGCAAGTACATCCAGCGGATATGCAACGGAACGCGCGTGAAGACCCTCACCGAGAGCGAAGAGAATGTCTTTCTGGTCAACTCCTTCGAGGCCTTAGTCGAGGACACGGATGAAAATGTCAGGTACGCCCAAGCAGCCCGTGAAATCGTTTGGTGTGTCCTCTCATACATCTGAATGTAGACAAGAATGTGCCATTGAAATGGCACTGTTTTCTTGAATCTATCTCTGCAGAACTGTGGTTGTTATCTTCATGTACACGCATGGGTTTTCTCTGGCTAAATATCCCAATGTAGGACCCTCCTGAAAGAGTGTCTTCACTTACGAAAGGCTTTCCTGGGTAAATAAAGCAAATTAGTTTAAGTTCAGATTTTTTGGTAAAATGCAACATTACCAGTTAAAAATTATGACTCTTACGATATAACTAATAATATTGGAATTATTGAGCCTTTGAGAGTGTTGTACAGAAACAATTTAGCAGTGCTATTCAGATAATGAAAATGCAGGTTTAATTTGGTCCAAGTATACGCAAAAACAAGATGCTGCCAGCTGTATTCTGCAAACACATCATGTACCAGCATCAGGGCTTTGTGTGGGTTTAATTGATTGAGCTGACGTGTCATTCTCGTGTATTGTGGGTGTTTAGGAAAGAGATGTGCGGTGAAGGTGGAGTGGATGACACTGATCGTGTGGAGATCAGAGTGGTGGTACGTCCTCTATCACCACAGCATCCAGCACGGATGACACATCCTCACGATGGCATTTTAGCCCTTTCACAGCCATGTGTTTTTTTAGCTATAATACATCACTGTAGCCAACCACTTTTTTAAATGAATTCTGTAAACCCGAGCTATTGTACTGTTTGCCTCTTGGCATTCTCTGGTTTGACACTGGTGAGACTAGGCCATAAAGAAGGCTGTCTCTGGTGTAGGCCAATCAGTTTCGGAGCATGTTTGTTTGCATGTTCACCACAAGTACGTGTGGTTAATGCAAACTTGATTCCTTGCAAAAGGTTTCTATTTGGTGTTTGATCATCTTAACACCTGGTTTATTGCCAGAAAGAGTAACACCTACTCTTGCTTTTTATACTTGGTCAGTTTGATTATTTGTAATAAAAAACACATGAAAGAGGCATGACCCCTTGTACAATATTTATATTGTACAATATTTTTATTTTCTAGATTGTCACTAGATGGAAGCAAACACGTTTGATTTCCATAATAGATTTGGTCCGCAAACAAAAACCTACATTCAGTCACGTGACATATCTGGAGTGGGCAGAGGAGGGTGTCGCTGACACCCGAGAATAGAAGGGACCGCTGTGAAAGGGTTAATATGAACGATTCTCGTTGCAGCTATTACACGATGTATTGGTTTTAATATTTTTTTCACATCACGGTGGTGTTGGTTTCATGCCTGATGCCGCCTCCGCGCCCTCTTGTCCCTTGTGATTCCTTTGAAGGACCCCAACTCGTTTATACTGAACGTTGTCTCGGATGCGGATCCGGCTCTGACCGCAAAGTCTAAAGCCAAGACGGTGACTGCATCACAGACGGGCAGAGCAAAGCCCAACAAGAAGAGGAAAAGGCCAAGGGAGAAACGGAAGCAAAAGACCTGAGGAAATAATCGAAGCAAGTCAAAAATAGAACTCTGCACAATGAGATCCCATCCTCATAATATAGACTACAGTGTTAGTTTCGTCTTTATATTTCCCAAATAATGTGCCAGATCTTGGAAGCTAAACAAGGTTGAGCCCAAATGGTGCATAGATGGGCGACTACCATGCATAGCAATGGGTTATGTTGTGGGAAACAGAAGTCGGTGAGGCTAAATCCATTGTTGTACTGTATTTCCATGCTGCCGTGTTTATGCTCCCCACTTTTGCCAACCTGCAGTGGCCAACGTGGTAATGGTAAAACATCTCCCACGACCAGCACAGCACGGGGAAGCCCTCATCCGGCAGCTAATTGAGACACGGCTGCATGTGTACATATATTTGAATATAGTTTCTGGGAATATTTTATTTGTTTTAGTTTATCTTTAGTTTTTCTCACTCAGAGTGAAATAGTCTCTGAATGTTTGACTGACTGGCATGCTTGCACAAGGAATTCATAACTGGTTTGTCTTTACTTGAGAATGGTTGAGTAATTTACATTGTAAAGCTGTGTATGTCTTTTGCAACCATGTATTCATATTATTCTCCACACGGTAAAGTAAAATATATTTCAGTGGAAGTATCCACATGTGTGTTTTATTTCGTAGCTAAGATATGTTATTGACTGTTAGATAACACCATAACACTGTTCTTTTGATGGACTCTGCATTGTGAAGCTACCTTCAGTGACGTGTCGAGCTGTCGAGTGGGTAAGGTACCTCAGGTCAGCACAGGGACTGACCCATTTGTGTTTCAAACGGACATCATTCATACGCTTGCTGACTGCACTTAAACCGCGAGCTTACGAATCGTCTATAAAAAGCCGCAAAGCTGGATTCGGAGCTCTCTTTTTAAGCAGGACCTTGTACCATGTGACTTTGATCTACAGTATATCGAGAATGCAGTGTTCAGTTAATTTTTATTGTAGTTTTACAAATCATCAGGATTTTGTTTTGATAAAACATTTCACGAACAACTTTGTAGCTAACGCAACCAGGGGTTTTTCAGGGAAAGGTAAAACTCGGGGAAGAGGCTGATGACTGCCTGAGAAAAGGTGAGTTATTCTCTTTCCCTGGTTAGTTCTCCCACTCTGAGCTGCCTGCGTGTGAACAGATTATGGTGAACGAGAGTGGGCGTGGCAGTCTTCCCTTGCATGCGGCAGACCCTTTTGAGTCGGAATCATGTGTGGAGAGTTGATTATGGTGTGTGTGTGTACAGGCACCGACGTCTAATGTGGAGTGCGTACAATTGCAAGATGTGGCGCGGGTTTCCGTGTACGAAGAATGGAGCCTTGCAGCACAGGCAACCATTGCTGCAGGAGCAAACATTGATTGGAGCGCCTGCAATTCGCAAAATCACACAGGCAGCTTCCAGCCTGGGGCAGCCTCACTGTAGTATGGTGCTGTAGTGTCATAGCCCCACCTCCACGCCCGGCATGGGGTGTTTACCGAATGTCGTGCAAATATATGAGCTAGTACTGTGTATCTTAAGTCCACCTCCGATAAGCAGGGTTGGCTACGTGCGGTGCGATAGAAGTTCAACATACACTCCCTCGAATTTGTACGGCTGATGTGCAACTGTATAGATTATGCTGTGGTAAATTACCACAGCAAGTCGTGTGGAACTGGAATGAGTGGCGGGGATGCGCTGGTGTATGCCGCTGTGCCGGACTGACACCAGAACCCCGAATGTGTCCCGGTACTTTTCAGAACGGTTCCTATTCCTTCACTACGGTGTTTTGGCCGAAGGAAAACGGCAGTGAACATGGGTTGCAGAAGGAATAGGTTTTATAGCGGCACTTGTGCATTTACATTGTGACCACCGACTGCGAAAACCTGTATTTAATAGGGTACATTGAAGCTGGAAACAATGATTTTTTAAAAAGTACACTCACAATAATAGTGCATTTATCATCGCCCAAGGTGGGGGAGATACATGTATTATAATGTTAAATAAATTTATAGACATACTGTACGTATGAATTTTTCATGGTCTTTGCATAAAAGGGGATAATTTCTTAGATACATAACAGTCAGGCAGGCATAAGCTAACAAAAAATACGACTGTGTGTAAAGCTGATCGCAATAAAAGCTCAACAGCTGAATAGGCTATTGAGCAAAACAATGTGATAAATCTTTCACAAAACAAGACACGTGGTGTCTGTCGGGACTGCCTGATCACCAAAGCAGGTCCAACCGCACAGCCGCTGTGGATTTAGCACAACCGTCATGCAAATTGGCCCTCTCGTGCTGTTGGTAGGGCTTTAGTTTAACACATAGGCTGTCGCGACCGATATCCAAAATAGAGGTTTTTTTGGGTTTGATCGCGTAAATATATACATGTGTAGGTCTTTAATCAATATTTAAGTAATACTCATGAACCTTTACCATCAATCTTAACTTTGGAGCTTTCGTGACTGCAGGAATTATTCTTTGGTTCTAAATCGACAAAGTGTGCTTCGCGTTTGAGCTAACTCCTGTGTTTGGACGTGCAGGACTGGGGTCCGAGTATACCTTTGTTAGGATCGATTCAGCCCTCGCGAAATGTGATTTTTGTTCAGTTAGTACATGGATTGTAGTCTGTTTACAAGCTAGGTTCATGAGAGCGCTTCCAACCCGATCGCTGTTCGTGCCTCATGCAGCCCCAGGCCTTTGGGTGATAATGCATTTTTTTATTGTGCCGTCAAAAACTGGAAACAACTTTTATGTAAATTTCGGAGGAAGGTAATAACTAATAACCAGTAGAAAACACATTAATATTTCATGCAGGTTACAGGCGATTTATACTGCCACGATTAGTTGTGTGTGCCAAGTCTTATTGCTTAAACATTTCAACGGATGGTGCTGATTAACTGTACTTAAATGAATAGGGTAAACAATACAATAGTACATTTGTTTTAACACCTATCAGCTCAAGGGCCTTACAAAACACTTGCGAAGTTGACATTTGTGATTGCAGGGCTTATTGTGAGATGCGTATGGACAGAGATGTGAAGAAAATCCATCATCAATGTTTAGTGTCTCTTGTTAGTATCCACGGTTTCATGAGGCAATATAAAAAATAGGTTAATACGACTTTCGATTAAAACACGTTTTACAAAATACCACATCGCAATCAGCCATCATCAATCTTTGTATTTGGTTATAATTTGCAGAGTACTGAGAAATATATTTTTACACTAATTTGCATCAACATTTTCATCAAAGCTGTTTAGCAACTGCCTAACTGTCTTTATTATAAGAATCTGATTTCTGTTCGAGGCGCCGTGTGTCGCCACTACTCAATGGGTGGTTGTTCTCCCAGAGCCCTTGCCACGAGTGCCACACACACAGGGCTGCTTGCAGGTTCCCTGATTGTAATGAGGGCCCTGACATGACCAACATTTGCCACCACAAATCTGACAGGACTGACAATGCACCAGGGCTTCGGGTACAGTCTGGCAGACCACACTGCACATTAGCAAATCCATTCTGAGCCCAGTGCTGGATGAAGAGCGTGCTCTGTGATGTGGCTAGCGACTATCTGATGTTGACACTGACCTCCATCAGCCATCGCGATAACGGGCAAGAGTTTCCATGAAGAGGAATCACTAATTCCATCAAATTTCGTTTGCGTGTGTTTAACAGCCACTGGTTCCGGAATGCGTACTGTGATTTGAGTGTTCCTGATTATTACTGGATAGAATCGATCACGTGTAGCTTGTCAACTCAAAAGTATTCACGGATTCCTAAATAATCTGAAAATATAAAGCATTTTAATCCTGATTTAAAGCTTTCGTGACTGCAGGGATTCATATTCTTGGTTCTTTCGGTAAAGTCATCACACCTGATGACGATTGATTGTGTTGCAGTCGAAACGTGAGAATTTTTATTGTTTTATATTTATATTATTTCCCTTCTACGTGACTTTACCGAAAGAATCAAGAATATAATTTTAATCCTGTTTGCAAATGTCACACGTGCATTTGAAGGGCGCACATTATTGCTTGTGCCGATTGTTATTACCGATTTTACTTTCAATAAACAACACTTTATTTGAACCAAAACTAGACTCGGAAATGAAGGTCCAAGTAAAGACTTGTGTGTCCAAATGATGTGCTTGCCAAACCTCCAAACGTGATTCCACGTAAGGCCCTGTCACATGGCGACTATTTAGATAATAAGTATTATAATTTTTTTCTACCTACGTGACTTTACCGAAAGAACCAAAGAGCATGGATTCCTGCGGTCACGAAAGCTTTAAATCAAGATTGAAGTATTTAATTGTGTGCCCTACTTCATATCCCCGTATGGGGGTCTAAACGATCATCCACACGCGGATGATCGCTAATTAGTTTTGTCGTTAATCTCAGGACAAATCAGAACACTAGCATAAGTACACAACACTTGTTTTCATAATAAACGTTTTTGGGTTAGATTGCGTTATTTATAAATGTGTCGTAACCCTCCACCACCCGATACGGCCAGTCAGTAAAAAAGTGTCACGTTCACACAAGACAAATAGTTCACTACTTTAGCCCACCGGTGTGTTTAAGAGTGAATCCACAACATTTACAATTTTTAGTACGACGTTTCGCTGGTAATTACATCCAGCATCATCGGGCAAATTGCCAGAATGGTGAAGGCTTAAAAAATTGTAAATGTTGTGGTGAAGGCTTCACCATTCTGGCAATTTGCCCGATGATGCTGGATGTAATTACCAGCGAAACGTCGTACTAAAAATTGTAAATGTTGTGGATTCACTCTACAACACACCGCTGGGCTAAAGTAGTGAACTATTTGTCTTTTGTCAACGTGACACTTTTTACTGATTGGCCATGTCGGGTGGTGGAGGGTTACGACACATTTATAAATAACGCGATCTAATATAGGTCGCGAAAGCCTACGTGTTAAACACTTTTTTTTGTTACTGCCGATGGCAAATAAATAAAAATCCCCGACTCGCATAACCTTTAATCAATAAATGTCGCCAGTATAGGGAACTGTACTATATGTTTTTATCATATTTCACAGGGTTAAATGCGACTCAATAGGTCACTCAGATGAGATCCACCAAAATAGAATCACAGCGCTTGGCGTTGTGGTCACCGCGTTAACTCTGGAGTTGAACTTATCGGCGCAAATATCCGATACCCCCACGTCTGAGTTTCAGGTGCAAACGCCCGTGGTGGTGGTGTTTGAACCTTGACCCCTGTAGTCCATAGTGTTGCATGGAGTTCATGCCTGTCAACCCCTTATCAGCACCTACCTTATTACAGACCAATTCAGACCATATTGGTCACCCCGCGTCTTTATAAATCTCAAGGTTCATCTTACAAAGTCCCATCACACGGGAGAAACATAAACAAACATACCAAAAAAAATCCCAGTATTGAAACGGCTGTACGCCATATGGACCTGAAAACTCAATTTCCCTGTACAAGAATACAGGGTAAACCGGATGGGTTGACAGGTTTGGGAATTGAGTGCCAAGCATGTTTGCCTCCCTGTGCAATGTACCTGTGGAGTTTATGCCCACTTGAATTTCACTCCTATATTATTACATCTTGTATAGTTTGTTATACAGGACTAAAATAGTTTTTTTTTTTTTGCCGGGTAGCCGTGACCGTGGTTTTTCTGTTTACAACCTACTGTATTGTGAGTACAATAACATTTTGTTGGAGTTAGTTCTTGGGCCAGACCAGATATCGGTACCACCCAAGGTAGCAAAACTTTAATGGTGCCATTTTATTTTTTACACCAACAGAAGTAAAATAAGACGTGATAACCTTTCCAAGTGAGCAGCTGTTTAATTTTTCTCGCAAGAAACCTGCTTTTGCACCTTTCACAATCACGCCTATTTGCCCGGACGTTACAAATAAAACATTCCAACACCTCTGCTGTTAATTAAGACAATACATAATTTACAAAATGGATGTTTGTCCCCAAGGCATGTATTTCATACTATTCTTGTATTTATTTTCGCTTGTTCTTCAATTTCAGTGACTTAGTGAAGTCTGTTTCTAGCAGCTTGTTTGCTCATTATCATTTACTGGCAGTTGAGGCAAGTACTGCTGGTTCTTTATTATGTCTGTTCAGTAAAGATATCTAAAGTGCTAACTTTACACTCAATGTATTGTTAATGTACCTGTTAAGAGTATTATCTAAGGCCAAGTACTACAGGCAAACATTTTTTTTATTTTTGTTCAGTTTGTCAATTTTTATATTTTTTTATATTTTGCTTCTATAAATTGTAAACTTTCATAACATGCACACAATTATTACCAATAACGTTGTTATTGGAAATATATGATTATTAAAATCATAAAAACGAAATATTTTGCTAGGTTATTTAATTTAGTGTGTTCTTTCTCCCTCTAAGCCTTCGTACTCATTGACATGTACATTTTTTCTCTAACCCCCTCCCTCTCTCTGCCTCCGCCCCCCTCTGTCTATTTAAGGCCACCCCACAGAGACGATTACCCCTCTCTGCTGTACCTGTGTTGCTCGATCTATGTATCTTGGTGTTAGTGTGGTGGTAGTGTGGTGGTGGTGTGGTGTGGTGGCGGTGTGGTGGTGGTAGCGGTGTGGTGGTGGTAGCGATGTGGTGGTAGTGGTGATGTGGTGGTAGTGTGGTGGTAGTGATGTGGTGGTGGTGGTGTAGTAGTAGTGGTGTAGTAGTGGTCTTGGTGCTGGTGGTGGTGGCGATGTGGTGGTGGTAGTGGTCCTGGTGGTGCTGCTGGTGGTGGTGTAGTAGTAGTGGTCCTGGTGCTGGTGGTGGTAGTGTGGTGGTAGTGATGTGGTGATGTGGTAGTAGTGGTGTGGTAGTGCTGCTGGTGGTGGTGGCGATGTGGTGGTAGTGGTGTGGTAGTGGTGGTGCTGGTGGTGGTAGTGGTGTGGTAGTGGTGGTCCTGGTGGTGCTGCTGGTGGTGGCGATGTGGTGGTGGTAGTGGTGTGGTAGTGGTTGGTGCTGGTGGTTGTGGCGATGTGGTGGTGGTAGTAGTGTGGTAGTGGTGGTGCTGGTGGTTGTGGCGATGTGGTGGTGGTAGTGGTGTGGTAGTGGTGGTGCTGGTGGTTGTGGCGATGTGGTGGTGGTAGTGGTGTGGTAGTGGTGGTGGTGCTGGTGGTGTGGTGGTGGTAGTGGTGGTGTGGTAGTGGTGTGGTAGTGGTGGTGCTTCTGCTGGTGTGGTGGTGTGGTAGTGGTGGTGTGGTAGTGGTGGTGCTGCTGGTGGTGTGGTGGTGGTAGTGGTGGTGTGGTAGTGGTGTGGTAGTGGTGGTGTTGTGGTGGTGGTGTGGTAGTGGTGGTGTGGTAGTGGTGGTGTGGTAGTGGTGGAGTGGTAGTGGTGGTGTGGTAGTGGTGGTGTGGTAGTGGTGGTGTGGTAGTGGTGGTGTGGTGGTGGTGGTGTGGTGGTGGTGTGGTGGTGGTGTGGTGGTGGTGGTGCTGGTGGTGGCGATGTTTGTTGTCGGCCTCTTGCGGGAGCTCGCAGCGGCCCCGCCGCGCACGTTTCAAGCGCCCCTCCGCCTCGCGCGCTCAGCCAATCGCGAGGCGGCGCGAGACGCGGGCGGCCGTGACGTCACGCGAGCGCCCCCCCGCCTCCTCCTCCCCCGCCAGAGCCGCCATTTCGCTCGCGGCCCGGCCTCTCACCGCGGCGGATGTTTCCCACGCAAATATCGCCCCGCAGAGCGCGTGTTTCGCGGGCTCACTGTATACGAAAAGTTACATCGGGCTCCGGGGAACACGGATGCCGACGCGATTCGGGTGGATGCCGCGCCCTTCATCGAAATATTTGTGAAGGAAAGTTAGGTGAGTGGCGACGGATGTGGAGGCCATCCAACATGGCGGCGCGCGGGGCCGCGGGTTTCTCGGCGCGGATTTGAAGTCGTTCTGCCCCCCCCGCGTCCTCCCTCCCCCAGCGCCTCGGTCTCGTCGCCGAGAATTACTCTAATTTGTTGTGGAGTTGTGCTTGGTACCGGTTTTATTAAAAAAAAATGGTAGCGTATTTTTGTTCTGGCACTCGAGTCGTGTGTGGCTTGGACGACTATTTGTGTCGGGGGGGTTGGAGGGGTCCTTGCAGTGCTAAATGAATTGAGCCCGGGCGGGGTGGCGTTACCTCGGGTAACGCGGGGATTACTTATGAGTAACGCAGGGATTACTTCGAGGTAACGTGGCGATTGCAGTGCAACGAGCGCCAGATTATGTTGCCATAGTGGTTATCGTGGGGATAATGGCACCGTGTGTTATAACGCGAGGTTACAATGGAGTTAACGCCGGGTGTGCATCGGATTACCATGAGGTTAGCACGGAGTTAACGTGGAGTTAGCGCCGAGTTAACAAGGGGTTTATACGGTTACGACATTGGTATGTCACGGCTTAGCGTCTGGTCATCGTGGACTTGACACCGGGATAGGACCGGGTGATGAGGCTCGTACGATGTAAACGTCAGCTTTATTGGCGGTACCCTTTGTTAATTCACTGCTGCCTGAAGGCTTCGCCACGTAGTCAACCCCGAGTTGCATAACCATACTTCACCACGCTGGTCAATGCGGATTTGTGAAGTTGTTAACGTGAGATTAAACTAAAGGGGCTAACAGTTCGATCATAAGGGTGTCACGTGTGGTGGGGTAAAGTGTGAGTACTCTCAGCTCCCCATGACGTCTCGCCAACTTGGGAAGAAGCCAAAAACAATTTGGAGGGGCTCCATAAAGCTCCCTCTAGTGGAGGCACCCTCACCAGCAGTGGCGTGAGCAAGTAATTGCAGGGTTGCACCTTTACCTGTTAATGTGAGAAAGGGTTCCGCACGGGCCACCCGCAGCATGGTTGTGTAATGGCTGCACAAACATTGTTACACTACCTCGTTCTCGACGGCGCCGCTGTAGTCATTCGTGCAACACGGGGAAACGCGGCAGGTTAACTAGATTCGGACCGGGTGGGTGCAACATTCGCCATGGCAGAGCCACCCGTGGGGGTCTGTGGCCGGCGGCGCCCACGAGCGAATTCCCGTGAATGTTAATGCGGTGACCGCCAGATGCATCTCGACAGTCGGTCACGGTGGCGCGGTTTGTTCGGTGGCTGTTTCGATGCGCCACCAAGGCCACCACGTCCCCTGGGGTCCCAAGGCACACGGGGAGGGAATGGGGAGGGGGTGGCCTCGCACACGGGGGCCACGGTGGCCGCGACGCGGGGAGGAGAGACAAAGAGCGAGGCCGGGCCCCGAGTTGCCGGCACCGTGGCCACGTGGGGCGCGTCACGTGCCGCGTTTCCATCATTGCAGGGATGAAGGGGCGGCCTATACGCTCGTTTACCAACGCGGGGCTGTGTACGCATGTCTCCGTGTACTCGTGTCTCTGTTTACAAATGTCTCTGTGTAAGCATGTCTCTGTAAGCATGTCTGTGTACGAATGTCTCTC